ATAACAACATGGGTGACTACTCGAAAGCACTTGAATTTTACGAAAAATCACTTAAAATTAAAGGAAAAGCTCTGCCTCCGAATCATCCCGATTTGGCTACTTCCTACAACAACATCGGTCTTGCGTATAAGAACATGGGTGACTACTCGAAAGCACTTGAATTTTATGAAAAAGCACATAAAATAAAAGAAAAAGCTCTGCCTCCGAATCATCCCTCATTGGCTACTTCCTACAGCAACATCGGTGGAGTGTATGACGACATGGGTGATTACTCGAAAGCACTTGAATTTTACGAAAAAGACCTTGAAATCACGAAAAAAGCTCTGCCTCCGAATCATCCCGATTTGGCTACTTCCTACAGCAACATCGGTCAAGTGTATAACAACATGGGTGACTACTCGAAAGCACTTGAATTTTACGAAAAAGATCTTGAAATCACGAAAAAAGCTCTGCCTCCGAATCATCCCGATTTGGCTACTTCCTACAACAACATCGGTGGAGTGTACGACAACATGAGTGACTACTCGAAAGCACTTGAATTTTACGAAAAATCACTTAAAATCAAAGAAAAAGCTCTACCTTCGAATCATCCCTCATTGGCTACTTCCTACAACAACATTGGTATGGCGTATTTCGGCAAAGGAGACTACTCAAAAGCACTCTCATTCTTAGAAAAGGCACTTCTTATCAAACAAAAGTCGCTTCCACCAGGACATCCTTCAATTAAAGCAACGAAAGATAAGATTGATCATGTTAAAAAGAAAATGTAAACGGTTGTTTTTCCTTCCTCAATAAATTTATTCACATTGCTATTCATTTCGATTTTTCTAGGCTCATTTTGGCTTAACCGCGCACGCGTGACAAGGGAGAGATCCCTTGTTAATGTCATAGGTACCACAGGCGGACCACGCCGGACTGGTAGGGCAATGGCCGAAGGTATGCCGTATTAACACGGTAGGGACCAACGACTCATAGAGGCCTTCCCTAGTACTACACTGCTTCGCTATGGCAAAGTTCCTGTCCCTATTGAATCAGAAAACGTAGTTCTCTGACTCACACTAATAACATTCATAACTCATCTCATCTCAAAAGTACTCATACTCATACTCATAAAAACTGATAGTATTTACTTTTCTCGAAATAAGTTTTCTCAATTCAACTCAACTCAACATGTAAAAAAAAATTTTTTTCCTACCTCTCAATGTTGTATTGTATCGTAGCTCATCTAAAAAAAAGTATTGTTAAATATAAAGACAAATAATTTACCTTATTTAAAATATAATGATATCATTATCATTGTAAATAATATAATAATAATAATAATAATAAATAATGTACCCGGGTATATAATTACATTGTAATGCATCATATTGAGAAAACGCGAATGTACTGTTTTATGATGATACATCCATGTTTTTATATACACTATGGTTCATTGTTTAATATTCAACGGTTTTAATTGATTTTTCATCAATCACATCACACACGTGAATTGATGTTTCTTCGTGTGTTTTAATTGATTTGACGATCAATCTTTATGTAATGATACGTGTATATTTTTTTAATTTTTTTTTCTCATTTGACGGACATCAATGTCATGTCGTCGTCGTCGAAAAAAAATTCATCTTACATATATATATATGTAGAGTGTGGGTTGAAGAAAATATTAACATTCACACTCACACAACACACCCTAATATTCATATAATAACTATTCGACAACCGATGATTTATTCATTTGGATTATGTCATATATCAATCCATAGAAAATACTGCAATACCAGAATAAAATAAACAAAAAAAAACACGAATTAGATCTACTCGGTTTCATAGTTTTTATTTGACTAAAAAATTAATGTTAAAAAAAAAATATGTCGACACGAATGTAAAGATTGATAAAATTTCTTGTATTTCTAATCTATCGTTTATTTATAAATAGAATTTCTTACGAAATTTCTTATTATGTTGTCACAAAGCTAGTAAACATGACTTGCAACGTATGATAAGAAGAAAAGAAAAAAAATATTCTCAAGAAAAATAAATTATTGTTTCAATTCTTTCTTTCTTAGTTTTAGCAGTATTAGACTTAGTTGTATATGATATTATTGTTGATAGTATTCAACATGGAGGTGATTAATGGACTTGTATTTCACGACAAATTCTCCATGGACTTCTTATTCATTTACAATTACATGTTACTATGGCATCATCTAAGGTTATTTTTGCTTTCTTTGATAATCTTAGATTTCACTTTACTTTTTAGAATCAATCACTTTTGGATATTTATTCTACACAATTAACAAATTTTATTGTTGTATCATTATTTGAATTACGATTAATTGATCCATTTATTGTTACATTTCGAGCATTAGCAAACAGAAAAAGTTCGTTTTTTTTTATTCATGAAATTTTTCTAAAGTTTAAATTGTTTTTTAGAATATCAATCGTCCTTTCCGTTTAGTTTGGTCCATAATTGGATTTATCTTCTATGATAGTACCATTTATTTGAATTTTAAATTTCTATGGTTTTACAATATCTCTAATTTTATTTTAGCTAAACAATTCTAAATAATTTTCGTGAATTTTTAATTCATGATGAAACTATATTTCATCTTGATACATTTTCATATTAATAATTTTCTTGGCTTTATAGATCGTACATTAGCTGGAAATTATTTACTTATTCAATCAATATAGACTATTAGGGATAATTTATTAAAACCCAATACATTATCATTAACATCGTTAAAATTCTTCGTACACTTATATATATTTGTATCACCGGTAGTCGAATCAATTGTTTGTCTTCATATTGAAAAGATGGTAGGACTTGAAGAACAATCATCAAATTCACAATTAGTACCTAAATATTTACCATTAATTTTACAAATAT